AAAAAAAAAAAAAAAAAAAAAAATGAATTACATGAAAAATTTAAATGAAAAAAATAACTGGAAGATGATATAAAACTTTTGATAATTGTATTTTAATTTAACTTTACACAGATGAAAAATATATATGTTAATATTATTTAAATTTCATTATTACTATAAGTAAATAATTTTATATTTAAAAATATGTTCAACTGCGGTCCAATAATCCACAGAAATAATATTAATAAGCTATTATTATTAAACATTAATAAGCTGATAAACTTTGGTCCATTCTAGACCTAACCCATCAAATTTTTAGCCATATATTGTAATAATAATAATTAAAAATCAGAATACACTTTAGATGTCATGATAATCAATAATAAGATTGTTGTAAGGTTTAATAAAAGTCTAAAGATATAATTTCATCTGAACAAATTTTTTATATTTTAATATACAAAAATGCTTGATAAGAACCGCATTTGTAATAATGAAATTTAAAATTTTTTTATTAATATTTAACTGAATAACTAAATAAATAACTTAATTATCATTTAGTGCTAAATAAATACATTTAATAGAATATTATTAATTTGTTATGGCATACACGCTGAAAGTTTTGTATAAACTTAACTAAAACAAATATAATTTAATTTTTATTAAATGCAATTTTAAAAATTAATGAAGTGTTTCAATAGCATTTTGAAGTGCATACACCACAATTATAAAGTGCTGTTAAATAGTGGAGTGAATAAAAGTTGTTAATTATTGTTAGCATAAAGTTATTTGGTTGTTAATTAGTAATATAAAAGAAAGATAATAGTTGAACTAGCATACAAAATAGTTCAAAACTAAATGGGTAGAAGTGTTTCTGAACAAAATAAATTATATTGACCATCTTTTAGTGGATGGTTGCGTTAATTAATAGTTGTAAAAACTTATATAATTCATTATTATTTATTATTAACATCGAATACACACACATACATTAACATAAACATATACATATATATATATATGCATTAGTTGTTAAATTTATTAATTTAAATTTGTTATTTTACATTGTGTAGATTTATTTTTTGTTAATATTAACTTTAGCTAACAATATAAATTATTACAATAAAATATAACAATCATAAGATAATTAATACTAAATCGATCTACACAAAACCAAGATAGATTTTAAAAAATATTTATAATACTACTTTAATAACATGCAATATTTCATAAATATATTTTAGATGTAGTCTCTTAAATGTAATGTTTTTAATAATATCAAATAATAGCTTACCGTAATAACCAAATGCTTGTGCTAATGATGAAATTAATTGATACATTTAAAATTGGAAGCCACAATGCCATAAAAAAAAAAAAAAATTTTTAATAAGTTATTAAATAAAAAATATTTATGCAAATAAGATAATTTTAAACGTAAAGGGGCACAAAACAATTGTCGATAATTTCAATTCAACATTTGAAGCTACTGTTATTGATATAAATATAATATGTTCAATATTTTTATAAAATTATAACACAGGCCCTTATTCAATGCTTCTGTTTTTCTTTAAATTTAGATGATGCAGTTATTAAATGCAGTTTCGTAGAAGGTTTTGTTTAGGATAAAACTTTTTAAATCAAAGAATATATATATATATATATATGGGAATTTTCAATTAGACTAACAATTCCTTAGCACCTCCTAATATTTTGAGAATTGTATAACAGAAATAAAAATATATACACATAGACGACAAAACACAAGAAATAAAATTTTTTATTTTTATTAGACAATGCTCTTTTTTTTTTTTTCACATCCGGCATGATGTGGACCGCCCTGGAACTACCGCGAGGTATTGCTTCAGGGCAGACAATGCTCTCAAAACAGAAAACCACCAACTCAATCAGATGCCACTTGTGTTACTTCTCACAGGCAACTAAAAGAACTCACATTTTTTTCTCTTTATTACTTAGACTCCTTACATATTTTAATATCTTCAGCTGGTAATAATAACTTTGGTAACTTACTACTTGTCACACTTGGCATGCTTTTTTCCAAAACTTTTTCAGGCATCTTTAATATATTTCCAATTGGCACTAAACACATTAAATTAACTGTCTACTCTGTTCTAAATGATAATACCTGCCTTACTTCAATATTGCTTGTGGAAAACATTTAATCAGCTTAAATTCCTAATACATTATTAAATTTTTTGGGTATTATTTACTTAATTCACAACAGTACAACTAAAAATAAATGCTGGGAAGTGTTCTAATCAAATATTCTCCTTTCATAAAATAAACAGTAAGAAAGACAACTTTCTTGTACCTTATAATCTTGTCGAACTTAAATTCTTATTAGTTAGCCTTAAAAACTTTTATAGTCATCAAAGTCTCATTTACTATATCTCCGAGTTTTAGCACTCTAGTTTAAAGCCTTTAATATTTTTGATATAACAACATCCAAAATTTTTGAAACATTGGTCTAATAGTAATTATTGATCAGTCCTTTCTTTAATTAGACCATTATCTAATAACAAGCCAGTCAATTATGTAAGTTGTTCTAAAAAAAAATAAAATTGATTCACTTATAAGGTATAAAAAATACTTCATAATCAATCAATTGAAAAAACATGGAATAACAAGAAACCAATAAAAAAATTATACGTATTATTTTTATTTTTTGATACATAAGTGATTTATGATAATTGAATCATGTTGAATAGTTCTCCCTCTTCTATTAAAATCTTCTGTTTAATATCGCAAAACTCCATAATGGGCATTAATTTCATTAGTTATCACTCTTTATAGTAATATTTTTCGCTGTAATCTCATCTTTTCTATATGCAATCTCAAATTTAGTAAATCTACTCTAGCAAAACAGTTCCCTCACTCAGACAGAGCTATAGATTTAAATATTGCCTCTCTAATCTTTTCTGGAAGTTATTTGACTGTACCCATGATACTAATCATTATCCTATTGATGTTTATTATTTTACAATTTAAATTAATAATATTAAAACAAAATATATTTTTAAAAAAACCAAACATTTAGGAGAATAATCATTGAGGAATTATTGTAAAAGAAATAATATTTTTTATAGGCAATTTGGAAAAGCTTTAGTGAAACTCTAAGTTTGGACCCTAATTATAATCTGTCTGTAACAATTTTTTAACGTTATAATTTTGATTTAATTGTTTTTGGTTATATTGCATATAAAAACAAAGTTTTTAATATTTTGAATACTAAAATATCATTACTTGTGCCCTTTTACAAAGTAACTATTCACATACATCAGTCAATCACAACTGAGAAATTACATATGTTTGTAACTTGAATAATTTCCAAGTGATACACAAAGAATCAAATAATTTAGAAAATTAAAAAACTAGTAAAAACAAGAAGCCTGTGATTCTATTGTTGTTTTTGTAAAAAAAAAAAAAAAAATACCTCAGATAATTACTTTAAAGATCATTTTTCCCTTAAAACTATATACTAAATCAATATACTCAGTACTTATGCTATGAACAATAATAAGAAATCAATATTAAAAATACATTTTCTTAACAAAAATGGGTGGTCAATGAGTATTCCACTCATATTGATATCTATTCTTTAAATTAATTTTATGAAATATTATCAAGATTAACTAATTTTATATCCCATTTGGAGTTTATTAGGTGCAATTTTTTCTTATTTACATTTAGTCATTAATATTATATACATGAGGTACCCAGAGCTGAAAAAATTAAACTGATATTCTTGAAAAAAGGAAATATGTGCAAAACTAATAAGTAAAATTATATAAATCATCAAATCTTCTCTACAGCAATTAAATAATAATATATTATTATTAAACATTAACTTAAAACCACAGCAATTGTACACATTTTATATCTTTATCTGTTGTTATTGCTATTATTTTTTTATTATGATTACTATTGTTATTTTTAACTTAAATATTATATAACAATTTTTAAAAGTTAAAGGGTGTTTACTCGTTTAATAAATCAAGAAGAAAGAAAAATAACTACTCCATTTATCATAGATTCCCTAAATTAATTTCTACATTAAAAATTAAAAATTTTTTAATTTTTAAATTCAATGTTAACTGAATATTTTTTCACTGATCCGTTCAACTATAAGCAAAGTTAAAGTAATCAAAGTAAAGTAATTACTGTTAATTAAAGTAATCAAAATATATTGATTAATTTTTAACAGGCTATTCATCTAAATATTTAATGATATGAAATTAAAACTTTTCACTAAAATTAAATAATTATAACCCTAGGTTATACATTTTTAAGCACTTATGTATGAAATATTATGATAATAACACTCTTTGAGAATTGTTTATATTATTTTTTAGCATATTAATTGAATTGATTAATTTTTGTATAATTATGATATGGTAATTTGATTCTATAATGTTATTTAAAATAAACAAATTATATATTTTTGTGAAATAAAAATATTATTGGTGACATATTATGAGCAAAAAATTTAATAAAATATTAACCTAACTATCATACATTCATATTTATAAAAATAAAATTGTTATAGTTTGTAGCTACAACTAAATTTTAAGATAATAGGCTCACTACTAATAACCATGAATGGAATTACTAAAACATATAGGTACTGTGAGTACTCTAGTGTAATAATTTAAAATATACCATACTAATGCATGGAATGAATTTATAATTTTCTGTTATTGATAATCAATATTTTTTAGTATTACACATTCTATTTTGGAATTATAGTATAATATGCTATTGCACTGCAAAGGAATTGTACATTTTTACCATCAGGAAACATGTACTATAGTAAAATTCTTACAACCTGATGTGTCTAATACCACCCAACATTAATTTTTACTAAAAATTAAATTTTACCTAAACACTTAATTTTAATAAACATCAATAAAGATATTGGTAATGCACAAGTTTATGTTTTTTTAGAACCTAAATCAATATTTAATTTTTATTGGAATACTTTTTATTATAAATTTTCCTTGAGTCAGCACCAATCACAGACTTTCTCTTATAATTTGCAATATATAAGTTTATGAACTGTATATCACTTGGAATTTATCAAGTAAAATCATTCCAGCAAACATAAATTTATCAATCTAACCTTTTCTGGGTCTCATCCAATCTTCAAAATAACCTTTAAGAGGGGAAGAAGTGCAGGATCCTTTAATTATAGTTACCAAAACCACCAATGCCGCACAGAATAATAAATAATACAAGTGATAATGATACCATTAGGTTAGATAACATAAATATCAAGTTGAAAAGAGAAATTTTATAGGAATATATGTGTTTGTTCTTAATATAAATGCTAGTTGTTATTAAAAAGTATGAAACAAATTTACCGTCTCTTTCATTAGATGAATGATTTGTTTGTACTGCTTTAGCATAGCATTCTACTTCTTTGGGTGGTATATTTGTTGAAGATAAAGAAACAATGGAAAGTTCTCTGTTTTTTTTTGTGGATTTAGGACTAAAATATTTGTAAAAAATAAGTTATTATATATATATATATATATAGTTAAATAAAATATTTTTCTGTTACAATAAAAGACCATATAATAATAATCACATTATATACTAAATAATTGTTAGCATTTTCTTAAGGAATATTAAAGTTTGAGTACAATCATAAAATGAATATTTGGTGGAGAGTTGCATGTTTTTAATAAAACAAATATACTTTTCTATGGAAATTGTCATTTGATGTAAAAAAACATATGTGAAAAAATAAAATTAATTTTTTGAATAAATTTTGTGAGCTATCAATGATGTTGTAATAATAGAGTATATTTAATAAAAAAAAAACAGTGCGTATTATGAGTAAGCTCGGATGAAGTGAAACTTCATTTACAGTCAACAGGTAAATATTAAGTTTGTATTGGAATAATAATAATAATAAAAAAAAAAATACAACTAAATATTTTCATTTTCTATTGAAATTAATTAACATTATTATTATTACTATTAATTTTCTCATTTTACTGTGACAAAAGATATAATGGGCTTATAATAACTGAAATAACTAATTAAGTGTTTTATTAAACATTATTAATATATCATATAAAAATTGCATCTAATGAGGTTTTTTTTAAATTTTTTTAAGCATAATAAAAATTATTTGAAATTAAATTATGAAATGCATTTTAAATAACATTACTTTCATTTTCAAAAAATATAATAGTAAATTAAAATATAAAATATACTTTATTACTTAATATTTATTAATAAATGTATATATAGACAATATTTATTTTTATTTACATTATATACATTTATTTATATAAATAAATGAAATGCCTATAAATTTAATTAATTATATATATTAATAAAAAAAAAATAATAATTAAAGATAATATTTATTATTTATACATATATTTATTTACTAATAAAAATAATTAAGAAAAAATAAAATAATTTATTACAAATATTCTTTATAATTATTTATATAGTGTTTCAAAAGTCATCATCCAATCTCAAAAATTAGATGATCGACAAAATTATTTAAAATTAAAATGCATTATATTTTTTTTGAAGTAATAATTCATAAATTTTTTAAAGTATTCGTACTAAACTTTTGTCATTAAAAAGTTATATTAAAACAATAAATAAAATAAAAATTTTAATATTAAAAATCAAGTTCTATGAATTTAAAATTCAAATAATTTAATTATTTTAATATAAAAAAATGCAAACAATCATAGAACGTAAACGTTTATTGAATGCATTATTATCAAACATACATATTAATTGAACTTGTATATTCATCAAACAATAAAATCTGTCTATGACAGATAAATGTGATGGTTGATTGTAATGTGCAATATAATTTTTATTTGGACCCTACGTAAAGAAGTTTCACTTCAAAAATTTTGAAATATATTGAATTCCGAAAAAAAAAAACTTATATAATACTACATTTTTTGCACATAGAAGGTTTCAAGATGGTAAGGATCTAGATGGCTAAATAAATAATAATTTTATACACTATGATTAATGAAAATTTTCCAATATTTATTTAAAAAAATGTCTTTTACGATAACTTAAATATTTATATGAGAGTTACCATGTTTGTGGTGTTTGTGGTAAGGATCCTTTTAAGCTTGAATCTGGTGTGGACATCGAATTGTAAAGCTCACTTTTGTTTGGAGATGTATTTAAACTTGATAAAACATCTATATTACCAGTGAATTTGAACAAATAAAAAAAAAAAGACACTTATATTTTAAGAAAATAATACAATACCAGAAACAGGAGCAACTCCAAGAGATGATAACATTTCATCTATTTCTTTGCCTTGATCTTTTTCCACATTAACTCCCCTAGATGCTGCTTCTTCCCCCTAAATATAACAAATCAATGTATGAGTACTAATAAACTTATTAAGATAAAATGTTTAATAAACTACGTAGGAATTAATAATGGAAAAAAATTTAATTTTTGCATTTGCATAAATTATTTTTGTTAATTTTATAAAATTACTCAGAAATATTGTTTCTTTTCAATTTAAGGTTGAAAATAAATTCATAGCCAAATATAGACATATTTAATTAATATTTTTAACTTCAATTTAAAATAAACTTACATCTTTTTTCTCTTTTTCTTTTCGGAGTCGTTCTTTTTGCTCTCTAATAGCTTGTAGTTTAGCTTTTTTTTTCTCTAATTCAGCTTTACGGTCAGCCATTTTATTTATATTTTTATTAAGTATATCAAAATAATTTTTTAAAAATTTTAAATTGGGACGTTATCAGATCATTTTTAAATCATAATGAAAAAAATAAAAATTCGGTATGAATTGTTATTCATATGTAACTAAAAAACTTATTTATTAAATAAAACTAAAAGAATTAAGTACAAGTGAACATTAAAATTGGCGGTCTTAAAAATTATTTACTAGAACTAAATTTAAAACTATCTTAAATTATTTTATTAAAAAGTTTTACTTAGCTTATTATAGATTATATTAACTAAATACATTAGATTTATACATTAGACGAGGTATAGAGCTATTACGGCTTACAGTGTAACCCACGTAGATAATTTAACAAGTTGCATATAGAATCTACTAACTATACAATCTGCGGTTAATACATCTTTGCATGAATAATTTAAAATCTCAGTATCAGTGTCGCCATCGAAGTACATTTACATTTAAGTATTATTTTTGGACGTTAATAGTAATAATAATATTATTATTATTAATATTACACATTCTGATTAATTTATTGTAATTAAACCACAGAAAAGGTTAAATTTCACCTATCATGTGATTCAACAGAAATAAATAAGAATAACAGAATCACTGTAAAAATCTTTGTTTTGATGATTTAGCAGTCTGTTACTTATTTTTTAAATGAACTTAATTTATTAGATAAACGCCATTCCAGATCCCGGGGTCTAGTTGACTATAGATGAGATCTTGTTTGAGGGGATCAATATAACTAGTGTATCTTGTTGCACGAATTACTTAAAACCTTCATGACATTAGTTAAAATAAGCTTAGAACTTAAAAACATTTGAAATTCCACCTCATCATTATCTTTTTTTTTTGTCTTAATGTTATAGCCATGGTACAGACAGGTTTGGCATCTTCAATATTCTCAACGTTAAAATAGCTGAGCCATTATTGATTTAGTGTTTGGGGTCAGGAGGCTATGTTTTGCCATCTAGTGTTTATTATTACTATTTTTACTTTTATATAGCCGCTATGTCAATAACGGCTCAACTCCTTAGCTGAAATGATAAACTAGTCCATATAACCGTGATTTGACCCAAGGTTCATAGATTATAATATAATGCATAAATTATAATTTATAAGCCTGGTTTACTCAAAATATCATAAGCAAACTAGTTTACTATCAGATATATATCTGTGTATTAAAGTAACATAATAGTGATACAATTAGTATTCTTTAAAATATTATTTATTAGTCAATAGTTTAGTACTATATTATTTTTTTAATTTTCTGCTACCACCGCAGACTATATATTTATTTAGTCTGTGATACAGATTTGAAAACCATTATTATATTTTTTTACTAATAGCTACACTGTAAAATCATCTGTTTCGTTTTTCAAGTTTATCGTATCACATTTGTTCTGATTGTTGGCTCATTTATTATATTCAATTACAAATTAAATCAAGTAAAACATTTTGAGATACTAAAATAATTTATATCCAAATTTGTCGTTTCTATTCGAGTTTATATTTAAAACATTGATCAAGATGGTTATGCCAGGAATGACAATAGAAAGTTTAAAAAAACACAAATCTGTGAGTATATAACAATTACTTCTTAAATATATTTACTTGGGTGATAATAATTGATGAGGTTCTAGAAGGTCAAAAAGAAATTTCTTAAATTTTAACACTGATTTAATACCTAAATTTTTATTAAAACTGTTTTATTTACTTACTAAAATTAGTTTTGCAACTATATAAGTGGAACCTTGTTTTTTAAAATTGAGAAAGACAAAGGGAAACAAAAATTTAACTAATTAAATTATTAAATTAAATAATCATTTAATAGAGTTGTCTAATTTTAAATAAAGCTAATGAAAAAGCTGAATGATTAAACACAAGTGTAGATTGATAATAGTAAAATATATTTTAAAGTATCTGATATATCTTCCATTATTTATTTCTTTATTTCTAAATAACAAAAAATGTTATCAATTGATTATTCCAAATATAATTTAGCATATATTTTGATATTTGTTAAAACTGCTTGTTTATGATCAATAAAAATAAATTTTTTTCAATATTTTTTACTTATTTATTNTTCGTCGGTTTTTTCCCTGTACACCAAAACTTTGAGCGCTAATATCTATTAATATAGTTGATTATTTTCCTGTTTCGACCTGTCAGAATGTGCAGTGTCTCTAGCTGAAACTAATGATACCATAATATTCATTTGTGAAAAAAAGTGACTTAGTCGGTTTTTTCCCTGTACCCTTCATATGAAGTGATGCTTCATAACGTAATACAATGGTTTTTAGTAATGACTTTACAATCATGTCTTATAGTAGATTATGTATAAGTTAGAGCTATGACTTTGCATAATTTGTTGATGTAATCATTACAAATTGTAGAAATTAAGGGATAACATCACCATATACCCTAAAAAAGAAACAGTTTTTTCATTATTTTTTTTGAGATGGATGGAAAGGTATTGATAAAAAACATTTTAAGTATTATATTGGCCATATATTAAAGTATAAAAAATAATTTTTTCATTGAAAAATAGTTCAAAATGGCGTCAGTTCAGTGGTTTTCTGACATTGCCTTAAAAAAGCGCGCCGTAGCCACAAGTAGCAGAATTGGAGTAAATTTCAACCTGCAAAAAAAAAAATTTGTTTTATCTATATTAGTATAGCTAGAGATACACGTAGGGGATTTCCAAAATATTAATTTTTGAAGTTTTCATAAGTGTTTACAGTAAAAAGTTCGAATTTCAATAAAAAAAACACTATTTATTTTTTTTATAAAAACTGTTTAAATTAATTTATTGAAAAACCCCTACGTGATTCTCTTAAGATTGCTGTTTTAAATATATGGTTAAAATTTACATGAGTTTTTTTGGTGCATGCCAATTTGAAAAATCTTGTTTCGAGATAAACACTTAAAGTTTCAAAACAAGTTTAAGAAGTGAAAAAATGAAAAATTCAGGTATTACAAATTTTTTACCATTAATCTGCAATCTCAAGACCACAAAGCTGCCATTTCAAGTGAGAAAATTTATTTTCTTTTTCTTTTCTCAACGATTTTAGCAAAGATCGTACCTCTTTTACTGCATCATTTAACAATCGCTCAGTAAGCTTAACAAGTAAAACGTTGGCTTCCATGCAGAAATTATATTATAAAATTTTGTGAAATAATGTGGCCCATATCTCATTTTTCATATCTTCAATGGAGTTGTAATTATGGCGTATTGCTAAACCATAAAATGATAAATTGCTAATGTAAATGGTCGTTTTGAAGCACATGAGGCGCCTGAAAAAAATCACAAAATTGAATGAAAAAAAAATTTTTCAGGTCTACAAGTTTTTTTTTTATATTCTATAGACTTCAAAATATTTTTTAAGAAAATAAAAAAGTCGATTTTTATAAAATTTTTAGTGGTGTTATCCCTTAAGAATTTAAAATCTACAGAATAAACTGGGTAAATGTAAACAATAGAGATAATTAAAATTAATTTTCTCATAGAATATTTAACAAAATTTCTTTAGGTAAAAATTCTGATTTTTATATGAGTTGCTATCACGTTAAATGTAATTTTTAAATAAATACTCAATTATTTAAAATGTGCATTTACAATTATTCCACTTTACCATGTTTTTATAAAAATAATAAACATGAATTTGTTAGTTGTAAGAGGGTAAATTACTGTTAAATTTATTTAAACAATCCTTATTATTCAATTAAATTATTTATAGTACAAACATTACTTCTTGATTATCTAATCTAATAAAAGATTTTTTTAAGTATGAGGATAGGCTTTAGAGTAAACATGAATATTACTTCATCATTACTGCTTTATAAAAGTTGGCAAAATTCAGAAAATATTTTGCAAAATTGTACAAACAAAGCCATAGAGACATTTTGTAAAAATTTAAATGGCAAAATCTAAAACACAAAACTCAAATTAAAAATACTATTAAAAAAAATAAAATGTTATTATAATTTGTTGCATGTATAATAAATAAAATATCAAGAAATGAGAAATATATGTATATTATATTAATGTTTTATATTATATAACATTAACAAAGGTACTAGGGAGTTTAAACATAATGTCAAAATTTTTGTCTATTCAATTTTTGATAATGTTCCAAAAAACTGATGTCTTTAAAACTACATAAAAATTAAATATAATCAATGTACATTATAATTAAAAATAAAATTTATTAAAACATAATTCTAGTATGCATTGATCATTAAGCCAAAAATCATACAATTTTCAGTAAAAATAAAGAGTAAGAGTATCAATGAATAAAATGATAAGGGAATATATATATAGAGAGGGAATGTGCTTGCTAAAAAAAGGATTATTTTAATGGTGGTGCTCACTAATATTTTAAAAAGACCAAAATGTAAATTTTGATTATTTCTTGCTAAATTTGGCTGTATATTGTTGGGAAAGAGTTATCTCCCAATTTACCCGCTAGTAAATTTGGTTATAGTAGGGGCCACAGAAAATTTATTAAAAAGCCCTGTACTGGATATCACTGGATTATGTAATATGGTTTAAAAGCTAGGAATTTGAAAACACAAAATTACTTAAAGAATAATATATTGAAAAACAGAGAGAATGCCGTAACAAAAAAAACCCTGCACTTTGGGGTCGCGGCACAGTTGGGACATAGCATAGTTGGGTCAAGTATAATGATATCTAACAGTGATTAAAATCACTATTATAAAAAACGCTGTGATGCAAATCTGTAGATAATGTTTAATTTAAAAAAATAACGGATTATTCCAAAAGCTACATGATCTCCTATTTCCTTATTTATATCCTGATTACAAGTTTTATGATTTATAAGTGTAATATATGAATGTAAGTATGTCAAATGAAAGAAGAATATAAATAGTATAAAAACAAACTAAAGTCTGACATTTTTCTTTTTTATATTAAAGTATATTACATAAGCTTTAATTAAAGATATATATCTTAAATTTATATAAAAGTATCAGAGTTTCCTGAACACTTTCAAAAGTTGAAAAAGTTGTCATTTTGAATCCCTCCCTGTGGGCAGGTAAAGAATCAGATTTATAAAAAAAATATACCAAATGATAGGTAAAGACATCATGCATCTAAAAAAAAAAATTATAACAATTTTGTCATTTTTGATCAAGTTATTGCAGTTTTAATAAAAAAAATTGAAAAAATGTTGAAAATTTGTAATTTTTTTGGAGATTTCCCCCATTTATGGGGAACGGGGGAAAGTTTTTCAAATTTTGAGGGTTATGTCTCTGACTAGATACAATTTGTGATCTTTTGATGTATCGTTGAAAAAAATTGGTTCGGTTACAGTTGAGAAAAAGTGGTGATACAAAAAAAAAAACACATCTTAGTAAAATTAATACCTTCTCAACTTCGCATCGAAGCTAAAAAAGTATTAAGTTTAAATAGTAAAAATTACTTATTCAATTATTTGAATATTAATTAAAATTAAAAAAAAAAATCCTATCTTAAGAAATATACATTGTCTTAATTTTTATAGTTGATACCATTATTTGCTTGTCTTGGAGTGGGAATGACTGGTGCAGTACTTTACCTTGCACGTTTAGCACTAAAAAATCCTGAAGTAACATGGCATCCTAAAAATAACCAAGCACCTTGGGAAGATTATAAACAAAAATCCTATAAGGTAATATCTCTGTATTATATATTTTAAATATTTTTAAATAAAAAATAGAGTTTCTTAAAATTATACATTACATAAATGTTCAAAGGCCATAAGTTTCAAGTTGCTATTGTGTAAACTATATATATATATATATATATCACAGTTGGGCAAATTTTCATCTAGATAATTATTTGAGGAAAAATAATAATAATGATTTTTAAATCAGATATATTTTTAATAATAACAAAAAAATCATTTTTTATTTAGTTGAATATATAAATAGAATTTTATTTAAATAATGCCCTGCTCATATCAGAGCAGGATTAATAATATTTTACAATTTTTCTAGGTATACTCATTTTTTTTCATTTTGGTAAATTGTTATTTTTTTTAAGTCTTCATGAATTTTTTTGTTTTAAAACATTTATAAAACTTTATTCTTAATAAATTTTCATATTAGAAAACCTTTTTTTAAAATTATTTTAATTACTGTCATTGAGTTCAAAATTAATCCCAATACAATTATGTTTTTTTTATTGATTTTCATCTATGCTTATGAAGCCCTTTGAAGTGTATGGTGCTAGGCAAGTACATTGGGTAGCTTTATACTTTTGCCAGCCCTGGGTTACAATTAAATAATATTCTATCTACATAGTTTGTTATGGTTTATTTTTATTTTCCTGAATGCTGAAATGACTGATCACAAAAGTCCAATCAAGTTAGATTATGTATTATCACTTAGTTATTATTTGGTAAATTATTTATGAAATTCTTTAAAGTAAATAAAATAGATGGAAGCTTTTTTTTTTTATGTGAGTAAAATTACATGTAAATGTATTTGAAAAATATTAGTTTCATAAATATGTTTATATAAAATAAACTCAAAGAAATTATAAGAATTTTAATATTATCAATTCATTTCTATTAAACATTAAAATGTCACAAGGTATTGATATTATGATAATTATACATTAAAATAGCAAAAATAATGTATTATTAATAACATACTCTAAAATTTTTTCTGTTGCTATGTATAAATATTTCTTTTAGAAGTTTAATTAAGAAAATTGGTAATACCTGAGTTAGTTATCATTTAAATTTACAAAATGTTACAATATAGTCAAATGACTATGTGTAATAAATATTTAACTAATCTTATGGGGTGAAATCCTACATTAAACTATTCTTAACAACTTTATTTTTATTATTTTACATTTTCAAAAGTGTGAAAATATTTTAATATGTAAAAATTATGAAAAATTAATTATTTTTAAATATTTTTCAGTTTTATTCAACTTCAAAAGAACCACCAGTCAGCCCAGCACCTAAATATTAGAATCATAACATATGCAAAGTATAATTTCAGAGTCGTACTCATATTAGATTAATTTTATGTTATGAGTTTTTATTTGTATAAATAATTTTCCATCAGATAATACCAATAGATCCTAAAATACATGTTCTATTAATATTGGCCAATTAATAAAATTAAATAATTAAAAAAAATAATTTGTTTTATATAGTGCGCAAAACAATTGTTTTTGCTTAAAGTTAATTAAGATATTTTTTTGGTAAAAATTCTACTTGGATACATAAAAAAAAAAAAATTTCTGAACAATATT